CGAAGAGAAAAAGGAGCACAATTATCTCAAACAGTCATCCCGTAGGATGAGTCATCAATGGGAGCTGTCGATCGATTGGTTTCGTACGACTGGTGCCGTGGACGGCACTCGAGTGACGGCCGTACACGGCACTCAACTGCCGTATACGGCACCTAGTATGAATGCGGCCACTGTTGTCTCGCTGAGGGAATCAGGCGGAGAGGCAGTTCCTGCGTGTATTGGCATCTTTCATAGTCCACGACCGGTCGCGCGACCGGTCGTGGACTATGAAAGATGCCATTCCCGTCAGCCAGGGCCTACGGACTACTTGAACTCGGTTCCTTTAAATTTGCCGGATGCGTCATTTTTCTGCCCTTGTCTGGCGCACTCCCGTTTGATGTGGACTTTGCGTGTTGTGCTCGCCTGTCCAATGGGGCCCCCACCACCACCGCCGTAGGCTTCACCCGGGGTGTTTTTCTCTGGGCTCTAGCCTCTTGCCGTCAGAGATGCAGAGAAAGTTCAAGTAGTCACGTAACCGACAGCCAGGAAAGGGCGTGTCCCACGGTGTCTCCAGTCTCCTCCCTCCAACGTGCTCTCTCGTCAGAAGTGGGCATGTGGACGGAAAGGTCGGCAGGTGCATGAAGGATTAAAAAGAAGGAATTTATAAGTTCGTGTGATGATGACTTTACACTTTGAAGTGTTGAAGGAAGGTAGAGGGAATGTAAAAATGATGGGCTAACGTGATTGTGTTTGTCGAGGGTTGCTACTGGTTGACTACTTTTAATTCTTTCGAGTTCTCTGAAAGGCGAAACAGTATGAAGGTGAAAGAGACCGTAGAAAGAAAGACAAGGGTCCGTGAGAAAGCTTACTGTGCAGATCAAAGAGAGCCGCTTTCCCTTTCATTGTGCAACATTGCTTAACACTCGTGCATGGAATGTTAGTTCCCGGAACCATGAATAACCTAATGTCGCGTTCCCCCCCTCCCCTCAGGGTTAAAGGCACAGTTCACGATAATTTTGTCTAGTCCAGATTATGACGAAAAATGAAAGGTAAGACGGAAGATAGTGTGATGAAGGGGAAGTAAGTGCATGAATCGATGTTTCCAAAGTGAAAAAGGCTCCGAATAGTCGTTGAAAAGGGGGCTGGACGAGAGTGAGACCAGAAAATCAAGAAAAATGGGGCGTCTGGACGAGCTATACGATGTGTGTCAGTGCTTACGTGTGGGTACTGGTGCGAATAACCGACTATTGTAGGCAAAAATTAATGCACTCATGAGCAAAGTTAACAAGAAACCCTACTAACAGCAGAAGTAGGACACCTTTTACAGCCTCTTTGAGAAGAAAATCAAATTAGGGATCGCAGCAGCAAAAAGAATTACAGAGAATAAAAGAATAGGTGAAATCATCGCTTCATAATTGGGCGAACAGCTGATTGTGTGTGAATTCTGGAGCGAAAATTTGCGATCTGCGTCGCCTCGGCACAGGTCTCACGTAACATCGATCGAGGGGCGGGAAGGCCGCGCGAGCCGAGAACAGGGCTTCCACTATGCCCTAATCTCCGACTTTTTGGGAGCGAGAGGGGCCCACTGAGTATTCCTGGGGAAGAACTCAGTAACCATTTTTATTGTGAACCGTGGTCTTTAAGGGTCGCCGTCGGCTTTTCGAGGAATACGTCTTTAGCGTCTTCGTCCTACGATCAAGCTCGCCATCCACTGCCGATGTACCTTCTGCCCTTCACCTTTGGCCCCCTCGTCTTCCAACGTCTAGCGCCCTCATCTGCACACTCGCTGATCTCTACTACTCAACACCGACAGGGCAAATCTCATTATTTTCTGCACGTAGCTGATAAGCATTGTATTCATGTGTGTGACGCAGAAACATATGAGGTCAGCGGTGCGGGCATACTAGCACTAGATTACTGGCAGCAGCAAGTCTGAACAGCAAGGAGTTTAGGCAAAAAGTAAGTCATTGTTTCTGCTCTGTTGAGCCTTACCGAGAAAACGAAGCCTGGTCAATTACGTTTCCTTGACCATAGCTTTTGACCTATGTGGACGGCGGCAGCCTCTCATCGATTATCACATAGATTTATTAGTTTACATTCCTTAATCGCTGACAGTTATCTCTGCTTTCCTCTTTGGCCTGCTGTATTTTCCATCTTATACTCGAAATATCCTCTACGAAGAAACTGTCCTCGATCGATCGATTCACGTGCAAATTTTCTGAACGAGTTATTTTTTCAATGAGGAGTCATCGCAGTCCGCCGCTTGGGATAGGAGTTCCTATAGGAAGTTGCGAAGGTTGATGACTTCCTCACCTGCGCTGATGATATTGCTCTGCCACGCCTTTTCGAAGCAACCCCAGATCGCGTTATATGCGGTAGCGTGCGGAACGAGTGGCGTCACCTCCTTCCTTTAGCTGCGAACCCTATTACCTTCGTCTGTCAGTATGTGCGTGTTACACCTTAAGGAATAAACTATTGTCTACATAGACAGTACACTACGTGAGATTGTGACCTTATGCGTGTGCGATATGTGAGGGACCTTCCCATCAAACTACTATTAAGGAAACAAGACATAAAACTTATTAAGCTTATCTTCATGCACAAATAAATGAAATGAAAAACTTACGTTCAAACTCCTGCGTCGCTAGGGGACTTCGGCACCCGCTGTTATTGAGGAAGGAGACCATCATGGTGTCCGCCGACTGTGCCACGCAAGGAGCGTGTGCCTCCGCAGCCCCCAGTTCTCGTTGCTCCATGAGACTATCCTTGGTGCGCCTTAACGAGCGGCAGATGACCATAGCTGCCCGGCGGCAGCTAGCAGCTCGCCCTCCTTCCATAGTCTTCCTTGCACGTTGAAGCCTCCCCTTCCTCCTTCCGTTCCTGGCAGTGCGGTGGTACTGGCACCTGCGTGATGTTGTCTCCTCTCACTGACGGGGCCGGATGGCGGTGGCGACTATGACGACGGCGGTGCGCTGCAAGCGGTATTAATCTGAAGAACATAATGGTGGTGATGCCTTTTCCTCCAAGGGGTGCCTCTGGAACTTGTTCAGTGTGTGAGCTGAACTGATCGCAGTCATTCGAATGCAGGCGACAGTCCCCATGACAGGCCGGCCCACGACACCCAGGTCACATCAAAACTGTTAATGTCACTTGATGAATCTCGATTTAATGCTACGGTGTCCGCCAGAGCAGGCGCGCACTTGCAAGGCCCGGTGAGTGTGAAAAGTATGAGGGTATCCGGTGAAAGGGCGGCATCGGGGGACAACTAGGCTAGTCCGGAAGTCCCGCCACGTACGGAAGGCTCGCGATGCGACGTTAAATGTTGGCACCTTAACAAGGCGCTCGTATGAGTTAGCAGGAGCTCTAGAGCATCGACGAAGTGACCTCTGTGCTGTGCAGGAAACGAGGAGATCCTCTGCAAAACGAGGGACTTTGGATACGGCTTCAGAGCCGTTTTCTGTGGTTGTCCCAAAACCACCAACGGCGATGGGATAGTTGTTTCCAAACGGTTCTGTAAATCGATAGTGAGCAAGGAGCGCTTCGATGACCGCTCATTGGTCACGTAGGGCTCCTAAAAAGGTTATAGCTGTCATGGTGGCTTGGATATGGGTCACGTAATAATGATGAAACATGGAAGGGTGCTGCCAAAGCTATATCCAGGGTTGCGCGTCCGGAGCTCAGCAAAACCATGTCTGGACGGCGAAAGGTTGATAAGCAAACATGGCTGTGGACGAGGCATGCCAGGAATAAAGAGCAATAAAGTTCGTGAGAAGAAAAAGCGATACCACGCATCCCTTCTAGAAAGGACAGCGGATAACTGGCAGCGCTTCCAGATCGCCAGAAAGAGGTAAAGAATGTTGTTGCTTCTGTAGAGGCAGCTCAATTGCTGAACTGAATGGGAAACTCGAGTCTCGGTGAAGGGTGAGCGGTATAATTACCGACTCGCAAACACCAGCTGTTGCCAGACCGAGGTATAGAAAAGTTACTGGCATAAATGACGGGAATGGTAACTCCTGACGGACCGCAAGCAAGCATTTAAGCGGTGGCGAGAGTACTTCGAAAACACCTCAGCAGTCGAATTAGCTCATCCCGCCATCCCTCGCGTTCTGCCAGGAAGCGGCCTTGTGCAGAAGGTAACCGTGAGGGAGACAATTACGGCTATGAAGAGGATGAAATTAGGCAAAGCAGCTGGTCCTGACGACTTAGCGGCGGACTTGTGGAAATAAAATGGGGAATCTTGCAGGGTGATCGATGGAGTTCTTCAACTGTTTCAGAGAAGGTGCCTGAGAGCTGGCAACAAAGCACGACGCTCCTATCTGGGAGAAGTATGGCAGTCGTGGAGACTGCACTTGCTACCGTCCAGTTCACCTGCTCTCGTACAGCATGAAAATCTTTGAGCGAATTACGACGGCATGGCGTTCTCGAAGAACTCATCGAGTGGGTGCGCATCCTTTACACCAGTCCGAAGAGCCGAGTGCAAACGGCAGCAGGCCCATCGACGGATTTTCACATCTCCATCGGTGTACGCCAAGGCTGTGCGTTATCCCAACTACTTTTGGTTGTCATGGATGCCACTACAAAAGACCACCAGAAGCCGGCTCCCTCGACGCTTCTCTATGCCGATGACATGATGCTCGCCAGCGAAGACATGAGCCCGCTCGAGCAACAGGTGCAAAGCTGGTCCCACTATCTGGCTATGTTCGGGCTCAGGTGAAACGTCAAAAACACTCAGTAGTTGACCACTGAGCGAGCCAGATTCTATCATAACTAATGCACTGAGCTTCCACGGACAGCAAACTTCAAGTATCTTGGACCGGCAATTGCGTCTGACAGCAGCCTGGGCTTTGAAACGAGATCTCGCGTGGAGGCAGCGTGGTTAAAGTGGCGCTCGATGATTGGCGTTTTCTGACATAAAAACATGCCTGAGCGTCTCACATCTAAAATCTACAGAAGCGGCATCCGACCAATCGCGATTTACGGCGCTGAGTGCTGGCCTGCGACCAAAGAAGTAAAAGCTGGTCTCAGTGTGATGGAGACCAAGATGCTGCGCTGGACAGCCGGAGTAACATAAATAAACCGCATAAGTAGTTACGTCATTAGGGAGCAATTCGTTGTAGCGCCCATTGTTGATAAAATGCGCGAAGCCCTTTTCGCGTAGGTAGGGTCACGTTCTTCGCGCGAATGAGGACAAATTTCGTAAGACCAATCTCAACTTTGATGTGGCACGGAATCGGCCTAGAGGATGCCCAACACAGCGATGGCTCGATACGTTACACGATGACCTCACAGCGGTTAACAGGGACGCCGATCAAGCGTTTTATCAAGAGAAGTGGCGTCAACATACCAGAAAAGGTAATCCCGCCCACGTGCGTAACAGACGCTAAAGAATAAGAAAAAGAATCTGATGAACATAATAAGGTTACCTTCCGATCAGACCAATGCAGCTCAGCTACGAAG